CACTCGTTTTTATTTACTTTCTTATATTGCTTACCATTGATTCTACATATTTCCACCATCACTTGCTTGCTTGCTTTGATCTATTTTCGATTTAGATTTGGATTTAGCAACCGGTCCTCGTGTTCGACCCCGTGTTACGACGATCCGTATCCTTGCGGTGAGTTGTGAATCGGGTTATAGATTTTAGACTCGGTACACACGTATCACATATACTCTGCTTCTGTTGTAGACAAAGCCACCGTAGACTGTAAAGTAGACTTCCAACTCACCGGAGCTTTCGCCAGTGCAAACACATATCCAGTCGTTGACCGTCGCTTATCCAAATCACCAGCATAGTCGGAATCAACATATCCAACCACACAGTGACCAAGTGATCCATCTTGTTGAAACACCAATCCAAAGTCCAAGGTCTTCAGAATATACCTCAGAATCAATTTCACTGCCTGCCAATGTCCTCTTCCAGGATTATGCATATACCTGCTCACCACTCCAACGGCATGTGAAATGTCGGGTCTGGTACACACCATCGCATACATCAAGCTACCAACCGCATTTGCATATGGAACCTTCGTCATGTACTCACGTTCCTTATCTGTGGTAGGAGATAACGCCGAACTGAGCTTAAAATGAGGGGCAAGTGGTGTACTTACAGGTTTTGACTTTTTCATCTAAGCCAAAACGTTGAAGTACTTTCTTCAAATATTGTCTTTGTGACAAACAAAGCTTGCCCATCTTTCTGTCTCTGCTTATCTCCATCTCGAGAATCTTCTTCGCTTCTCCAAGATCCTTCATCTCAAACTCTTGATTCAATTGAGTCTTCAACTTTTCGATCTTCGACTGACTCTTTGATGCGATTAGCATATCATCCACATATAAGAGTAAGTAGATGAAAGATCCATCTGGTAACTTATAGAAGTAGACACAATGATCATACTTGCTCCTTGTGTACCCTTGCCCGATCATGAACTTGTCAAATCGTTTGTACCACTGTCTGGGAGATTGCTTCAGTCCGTACAACGACTTGTTCAACTTGCAAACCCAATCTTCCTTACCAACAACGGTAAAACCTTCTGGCTGAGTCATATAGATTTCCTCCTCCAAATTCCCATGTAAGAACGCCGTCTTCACATCGAGTTGAGCTAGCTCCAATTCAAACTGAGCTACCAAGGCCAACAAAATCCGAATGGAGGTATGTTTCACAACTGGAGAAAATACCTCATTGTAGTCGATACCCTCCTTCTGAGCATAGCCTTTTGCTACCAATCTTGCCTTGTAGCGGACATCAGTCTTGTTAGGAAATCCTTCTTTCTTCGCAAATACCCATTTGCACCCAATCGCCTTCTTTCCACTTGGTAACTTCGCCAGCTTCCACGTATAGTTCTTCCGGAGAGATTCCATCTCTTCCTCCATAACTTTCTTCCACTTCTCACTTTCAGAACTCTTGACTACATCCTTGTAAGTGATAGGAGTATCAGCATCAATCACCGGAAGTGCAAAAGCCACCGCAGCATATCGAGCAGGCATTTTCAACGTTCTCGTCGGCTTTCGAAGTGCAATGGGAAGTTCCTTCTGAGGTTCTTGGGTGGAAACCTCATCGTCTTCAGAATCTTCAACATCCTCCTCTCCCATAGGAGGTTCTTCGTTTGCTGGAACAAACTTCGCAGTCTCAAACTCCACCTCCTGTGGACTACTCTCCACCTGCTGCTGAGCACCACCAACTTGCTTCTTCAACATGGTTTGCTCATCAAATGTGACATCCCTGCTAACAATGATCTTCTTTGATTCAAGACACCAAAGACGATATCCTTTCACCCCTGGTGTAATCCCCATGAACAGCGACTTCTTAGCTCTGGGATCCAACTTTGATTCCTTCACATGATAGTAAACAACCGAACCGAATATGTGTAGAGAATCATAATCGTTAGCAGGTTTGTCATACCAAACTTCCATGGGTGTCTTGTCTCCAATTGCAGCAGATGGTAACCGGTTGATGAGATGACTCGCATACGTCACAGCCTCAGCCCAGAACCGTTTGTCTAATCCAGCATTAGACAACATACACCGAATCTTCTCCACTAAAGTTCGGTTCATGCGTTCTGCCACCCCATTCTGTTGCGGATTATTTCGAACTGTGAAGTGTCTGACAATGCCATCATCTTGACAGATTTTGGCTAGTGGATCACTCATGTACTCTCTTCCATTGTCTGTTCGGAGACGCTTGATCTTCCTCCCAGTCTGGTTTTCCACCATATTTTTCCATTTAAGGAAACAATTCAACACTTCATCCTTGGTCTTCATCACGTATACCCAAACTCTTCTTGAAAAGTCGTCAACAAAAGTGACAAAATACCGACCACCACCTAACGAGGTCTCCCTTGTAGGCCCCCATACGTCTGAATGGACATAATCCAGAATACCTTCGGTGTTGTGGATAGCCGTCCCAAACTTCACTTTTGATTGCTTTCCAAGAACACAATGCTCACAAAAGTCCAACTTGCAAAGCCTGGCTCCTTTCAACACACCTTGCTTGACGAGGTTCTGCAAAGCCTTCTCTCCAGGATGTCCCAGGCGCATGTGTCACAGCCTGGTGACCTCAAAATCCTTATCTTCTCCAGTCGTAACAGCAACTGTTCCAATAACCGTACTACCTTTGAAATAGTACAAGTTATTCTTCCTTACTCCTTTCAGGACCACCAATGCGCCAGAAACAACTTTAAGAATTCCATCTCGAATAGTAACAGTATAACCTTTAGATTCCAAGGTTCCCAATGAGATGAGATTCTTCTTCAAATTTGGTACGTACCGAACCTCTGACAGAATCCTTGTAGTTCCATCATGGCACCTCAGTCGGATTGAACCTATCCCGGTTGCTTGTAGAGCGTCATTGTTGCCCATGTAAACAACTCCTCCATCTAGTTCTTCAAAGTTGAAGAACCATTCCTTGTTGAAACACATATGGTAGGTGCAACCCGAGTCCATAATCCACTCGTCAGAGTGAGATTTTGACGATGTGCCGATCAATACGAACTCTGACTCGTCATCTTCATGTTTGGCGACAAAGGCGTCTGAAGTCGACTTTGAAACGACCTTCCCATTTTCTTTCTTTTTCAGCTTTGGACAATCCTTCTTCCAGTGCCCAGTTTCATGACAAAAGGCACATTCATCCTTCGCAAGTCTGCCTTTTGAGCGAGATCTACCCTTCTTCTTCTTTCCAGGCTTATGAGTCTGTTCACGACCTCGAGCAGCATAGGCCTCCCCTGCTGAAGTTGAACTGTTTTCCTTCTGATCCTTTTTCCGGATCTCCCGATTGTACAAAGCTGCACATACTTCATCGAAACGGATCTGCTCCTTTCCATGAAGTATCATAGTGATAAGGTTCTCGTATTCTTCGGGTAGAGAGTTCAGGAGGAGAAGAGCCTTATCCTCATCCTTGACCATTTCATCAAGGTTTTCCAACTCCGTCACCAGCTTGTTGAACTCCGATATGTGGTTGTACATCGTAGTGCCCGATTGGTACTGCAGGCGGAACAACTTCTTCTTCAAGTACAACCGGTTCTGGCAACTCTTCGTCAGGAACTGCTTCTCCAACTCTCTCCAAAGTTTGCTTGCAGATGTCTCCTTCATATAAGGGAGTTTTAGCTCCCTTGTTAAACACGAACGGATTACTACGCAAGCATTGCGGTTCATCCATACCCACTCGGTATCCTCCAGGTGTGTCGGCTTCTGCGAATCAAGAGCAACGAGAAGCTCTTGCTGATAAAGCGCATCCATCATCGCTCCTTGCCACAAGCTGAAATTATTGGTCCCGTTGAACTTCTCCACCTCGATCTTTGCATTCGTCACCACCGTCCTTCCCGATGACGCCGAGGATCGGACGATCGACGACGATGATGAAAACTTCTTCTTCTACACTCCTTCTTCTCTTCTGAATGTTTTTGTTAGTGATTTGTGATACTTGAGAACATAACTTGCATGGCTATTTATAGGAGAAGTCACAGACGGATTTGTGGCGGAAGACAAAAGCCACCAAACCATTCACGTTGAATGGTGTTTGATTTTTTCAAATAAAAAATCAACCAATTGCCTTTGTCTGCCATCATCACCAATTTCCTTTGTTTGCCACCAACACCATAATTGAAGCCACCATTCACAACCTCTTTTGCTGCTTCCGGCGAAGACACGACTACTGTTGTTACTGTCCCAAGCTTCATGACTCATCACGGGTCCATAAGTTTTGGAGAGTTCGGCCAGTGAACGGTGAGGGTTTTTCCCAAATTGGAGAATGTTTCCGATGATGGGCAACGGCGGAGGACCCGGAGGCAGTACGGTGGAGCTCCGTCGGGATTTGGTGGTGGTGATTAGGACAAAGAGACATGACAACAGAAAGCAGACGAGGAGAAACAATGCTGTTGCTGAGATGTCCATCTCAAGGCTTTTTAAAGTTCTAAACTCTCCTTTGCATAGATACATATATATACAGGGTGAGTTACGAGAATTTGATAAGCAAATACACGTGACTCGGATATATCATTTACATATATTCAACCTTAACCTAGGTTTAAAAAGATATATTTCGAGAACAATATCTATTTTATTTTTTTCCAAAGAAATACTACCGCGAATTCTAATAGGATGGTAATTAAGAAGAAGAGAAAAGTTAATTCTTTCGCGAGTTCTTTTCTATTAGAGTATTATGGAAATTGGCAAAAACGTAATTTTCTATTGTTCTTATCCTTTGGTGCATAAACCAACAACCATATATTAAAAACGTCTTCAATGCCAACTTTATTACAGGTTGGAGATATTTGCATTTTATTCAAAGGATGAATTAATTTTCAACATGTTACAGCTAACGGTTTTTTTCGTGTTTGTGGGGAATACACCATCACGGCATGTTTCCCAGATGTTATTAGCATTGCATTGACTTTAATAGAACAAGAAGAAGGTTTAATATTAATATATAATTAATTTTTATATTTTTCTTTTACAGAAGCTATTAATTAGGCCCATGGTTTTCTTCGTTTACAAATTCTAGAAACAGAACCCTAGAGGAAGGAAGTTGTATCGACAGACTTTTTTTTAACATGGCTTGGGTTCCAACTTCTTTCACATAACCTAAACATTATTCATACCATCGAACATACAGATGAAGTATTACGAAGATTTACGAATCAAATCTCCGCAGAAGAAGTTGGTCCGACACGTTTCATGACGGGAACGGCATAGAGGGGCTGGGCCTTGTGCAGTGTAACACCGAAGGCCTCTTCCATGTCCAGTTCTTCCGGGACGGCGCCGTTTTGGAGTTTCCAGTCAAAGGAATGTAGAAGTGAAACAAGCATCATAGGCACTGTCTTAAAAGCCATTGGCATTCCAGGACATATCCTTCGTCCGGCTCCGAACGGTATCAGCTCAAAATCTTTGCCCTTCACGTCTATTTCACTTCCCAAGAACCTCTCCGGCTCGAACTGCGTCGGGTTTTCCCACACGCTCGAGTCTCGTCCTATAGTCCACACGTTAACCAGAACCTGTTTCCATTATTCAAAAAATATATTTTTTATTTTGTTTACCAATGTTTCGTCCATAGAAAACAACAACAACATAAGCTCAAAGAGTATCTCAACAGTTTGACACTTAAATCAATATACGATCAATTAGAGATAATACCTGCGCGTTCTTAGGTACGAAAAATTCAAAAATACGTGCATCTGACTGTGCTTTGCGCGGGATTAGGAATGGAACCGGTGGGTGCAAACGGAGAGTCTCTTTCACCACTGCTTGCAAGTATGGGAGTTTCTGGATATCGGAATCGTCAAAAACAACGTTCTCACCGATTACCCGACCAATCTCTGTCTGGACTTTCGTCATTTTAGTCGGATTGCGCAGTAACTCGGCCATTGCCCATTCCACTGTGCTGGATTTCGTGTCGGTCCCCGCTCCAAACAAATCCTGATTGAAAATGTAAAGCAACTTATATCACAAAGAGACCAAACACACCACATTTAGAGTTCAGATGTATACTCACCAGAAGCAGAGATTTGATAACATTCATGTTTAGTTCTGATTCGTCATCTTGGTTGAGGTCGAGAAGGGAATCCAGCAGATCTGTTCTCGAACCATCTCTGGGCTCAGTCCGGTTTAACCTCTCTCTGAACCTATCATCGATTAACCCTTGGAAAACCTTTAACAGCCTGTCCGTGCAAACCTTGAATTCTTTGCGAGAACCTTGTAGATCAAGAAACCCTAGAAATGGAAAAAAGTTGGCGATATCGGGTTTCCCAGCGGATTTCGTGACACGAACCACGAGATCATGGTAGTCATGAGATTCTTTCGAGTCGTAGCGTGCGAAATCGGCTGAAAACAGAGCATTCGAGACGATATTGAGGGACGTGACGAAAGATGCACGAGCAATATCAACAGCTTCTCCTCTCTCGCAGCTTTCATACAGGAAGCTCATTAGTTCCTTCACCTTTTTCATCCGTACGGTCTTGGTCGCTTCAAGACGTTGTGGAGAAAACAATTGACTGGCTGATATTTTCCTCAGTTGCCTGCAACATTATACAGACAACGATCCATTGGAGACATCTCACTACAGTGACAAAAAAAAGCCAGAGACAAAGAATGGAATATGACCTCCAAAGAGCTGACGGAGGCATCCAGACAACGGAAACATCATGGTAGCCAATGGCTCCTGCGGGGGTGGG